TTGTGTCGGGGCATTGCCCGTTCCCTTCACCTCCGGTTCTTTAATCGGTTCTCGTCTTCTGGAGGGGCCCGGCTGGCTAGCCACAGCGCGCCGGTTGACTTGGTTGCCATTCCGATCGACGACAATATTCCGTACAGGGTCTCGCGCGGGGTCAAATACAGAAAATGTCGGACCATTGTTTCTGGGTCTGGCGAGGCGGTTAGCGATCGGGATGCGATTAGGATTGCCGAAATCGACTTTCCTTTCCCGCCTGTGATCGCACAGATGGTTGACGACCAATTCTGTACACAATAAGTAGATGCCAACATAACATTACTTCCAATCCTTTTCGTACCTGCGTTCTTCACCGTGCGATTGTCGAAACACTCGCAACTCCTGCCTCTCTTTCGCCCCCTAACGTTCGAGGCGTTCGCGGTCGAACGTTGGCCGTTGGCGGCAGCGGGTTGGTTTATGGCCGTAAAAGAAAACATTTCAAGTTTTGATAGAAGATGAGATTGCAAGAAAGAACTTTTAGGTGAGGATCCAGGAAAGAAGACGATGATGATGTTGATGGAGTGAAAGCGCCACGGGGGAGAAGTACTTATATATACGTAAAAAACTTATGGATATACGCGTTCTCGACGCGTCGAAGCCTCCGCGTCGACGCGGACGCGGTTCCACACAAAAACTTGTAGACAGGGGCGGTTCAGGTTGGCTGGGAGTTGCCAGCCTCCTCTTGCAGGATTCCAGGGATTCCAGATGAAATCTAATAACTTACCTGATGTTTGCTTTTGTTGGGATAGGTATGAAGAAATAGTTGTACCGGTAGACGCAAGCTCAGACGTACCTGGAGTCGCAAGGTCTTGGAAGTACTACGTACCGGTAGTAGTTGTATTTTGCCCCATCTGTTCAGGCGACGGGAGTGAAGACAGTGGCCCCTCTTACCTCGATAGAAAAAGATTGAATCTTGGATACCTTTTGACGTGAAGTAAATGATGTCGAGATACCTGCTTCCAACTCGCTGTGAAGTTGGGGGCTCCAGATCTTCGGCCCGCCGAGATACATAAGGTTTTATCTCCTTCTCTCACTTGACTTAGGATTCGGTAAATTCTGGGAAGTTCGCGGACTCGGATCCGCACCCATGATCCCCGGATACTTGCCTGTTTTCTCCTCCTTCAAAGACAAAAGGCCCGGGTCTTCTGCCATAACAGGTATGGGCAGTAAGTACAACGTACAACCGATGTGTCAATGAGTAGTAGTTGTATTCGATATGACACCGGACACGGCCGAGCCCTTGACACCATTCTTCTCTCCGACTGTTGCCCAGTCAGTAAGGTTAGACTGTATGTAAATGCTCCATACGGAGCAGTCCAGGAAGTCAATCGAGACTGACCATCCAACGCAACAAGGAATCTGCTAACGCAATTATAGCACGCTACCTGGACAACCAACCGCGTCAGTAGGTGTTCTGTATCTCTCTCCCCTCTCTCTTCTCCGTGTATCCATGCCCTTTACCCCCCCGCCCCCCGTGCAAACTCGACTACTTACCGTCGCCGTCATCTCAACCACCTGTTGATCCGAGAAATGCTTCTTGAGCCCAGCAAACACCTCATCCGGGACCGCCACATCCCGCGTCATGGCGTCCGTGAAATTCACCACGGCCCACTGCGGCTCCGTCAAGCCCTGGCCGCCCGTTCTGTGTCCCAAGTCCCGCTCTGCCAGGACCTTCATGCCCTCGTCGCTGACACCGGCCGCCGCCGCCAGAGGGGCATGGTGCGTCCACTCGTACCCGGCCTCGTTGACCACGGCGACACGGCAGATGGCAATCTCTCGCACATCGTCACCGAGGGACGTCTTGGTGCGGATGGCACCGAGGAAGCTGTTCCAGCCGTCGGCCACGGCCGGGGAGTGTAGCAGGGCGAGATCGAGGGCCTGCAGGGGACGGGGGTTTCGACGCGCGCGGACCCGATCGACGACGGCCTTGCGCTCGGGGTCGGTGATGGTGCTGGGATCCACATAGGGGAGACGCATCGTGAGATGGCTGCTCGGAGGGGAGGTTGGGAGGTTGGGAAGTTGGGAGGATGGGGAGGTTGGGAGGTTGGGAGGTTAGGAAATTGGGAGGGTGGATCGGGGCGATTTGGGTTTGTTTGTCTGCTTGTTTGTGTGCGTGCGCAGCAAGACTATTGGAAAGTAAATGCAGGTTTGAAGGGGATGTCCGAGGTGGAGGTTGGGTAGGGTAGGAGTATGGAGTAGTAGTGATAGTTGTAGTTGTGTGTGTATACGGTATATATATAAAAACTGATGGGTAAGGGGAGGTGGTGAGAGGGAGGCGGGCTGGAAGTATGTATCGGTATAAGTTGGTGTTGTAGTTGCAGAGAGATGTAGGGAAGATGTATGCCACGAGTCATGCATATAGACCTACACATCGTATGTCACGAGTCAGTCAGTGGGTCATGACGGGGTGGGACTTGGACACGGAATGTCCGGGGAGCTCTGGTCACGGGAAGGGGCAGGGGGGCAGGGGGGGTAAATACTTTGCCGGGCTGCGTCTCTGAACTTGCTCGGAATACCGGTATACACATTGTCTACCCTACATCTACAACTTTACTCTACTCTGAAAGCGATTGGCGATGGGTAGCTCAAGATTTCCATTTCCAGGCCGGATGTCGTCTGCTCCCATCGTTGGGCGCAGAGCAGAGAGCAGAGAGCAGGACTCCAGTCGAAGAAGGACTTTGTTGACTCTGGCTTGCCTCCCTCTGGCTTGCCTCCCTCGCTAAGCTAAGGCTAAATGAAGCCCGCAGCCTCTTTTCCGCCTCCTCCTCAGTCACAACCCAGCTATCTGTCGAGTATCAAAGATCCTTTGTCCAATACGCACTCACGATCTAACATGCCTCCTGCAACATGCAATATCCAACGCCCAACAGTCAGCCAGCCAGCTAGCCAGCTAGCCATCCCTCTCTTCCTCTCTCCCTTCCTCTCTCTCTCGCCAACCACCACCAGAATGAAGACCCGCCTCCCAACCATTCACCCCTCCGCCTTCTGAATAGCAGCCCGATCCAGATCCAGCTCCCGCTCCCCAAACTCCGTGCTTCCAGGCACCTCCACATGGAACCGCTCGGCAACCACCCCCTCGAAGCCCACCTCGCCGTCGCCCTCCAGCTCCAGAATATGCCCCCCGAAACGCCTGCCGACGTCGATGAAGTGCGCATGCACGCCCACGACGCTCACGCCCTCGCTCCACCCCGGACTCCGAATGCCCACCACCGTCCCCTCCACCCGGACAAACTCCCGCACCGCCTGCCCCTCCGCCAGCTCCGCCAGCGGCTGCCCCTCGTACGCCTGCTTGTGGATCGCCCGCACCTTGACGCGCCCGAACCGGCCCACCAGCCGGAACAGCACGAACGCGTTCCGGGCGCTGGGGAACGCCTGCTCGAGCTCGGCCAGCAGGCTGCCCTTGCTGGCCACGGCGATGGGTCTGGCGAGCGCCGGCTGGAAGTCGGCGACCATGGCGAAGGGCACGAGCTGCGCGCCGGAGGCAAGGTGCGTGCTGCCGTCGGCGTGGAACTGGTAGGCTTCGGAGTCCAGGACGATCATCTCGCCGTCCATCTGCTCAAAGGTGCCGAGGCCGAAGTTGCCGTGTGTGAGGAGCGTGGAGACGGGCATGCTGCTGGAGGCGGAGGCGAGGCCCGACATGAGGGCGCTGATGATGGAGAACTGGTACACTTCGTTGGGCGCCATGATGAAGATGGTTGGGGGTTGGGAGTTGGCAGTCCAGTGTGAAGCAAGGTGAAATTCGATTTAAAATCCGAGGTGAGTAATGAGTAGTGAGTAGTGAGTGGGTGTAATGACGAAAACCGCGAGAATGGTACAAAGTATTTGTACTCCTGATGACCGCGATCGGAAGAACTTATCACCACGCTCGGAAGAGGTGCGGCATTTAAGTTTTCTGGATAGTGGCGAATATGCAGAGTCATGGAGAAAGGAAGCGGAAACGACGTAATTGCTGGTCCGGGTGGGTCAAGATCGTGATCTCTAATACAAGTATTACCTCCGTAGCCGTAGATATGATGATTTCTCATCTCTTGTCTCTGGACAGATAGATTAGTCACAACCAAGCGAAGCGCGGCTTTCTCTGCCATCTATCTGTGAATGCAAATGCGCTTTCTACTCATCACTGGCTCCGAATCCGGTAGGTAGGTAGTTGTCGAGGGGGGAGTTTATCCGCTCGCTCGCCCATCTCAACCTCGCTTCCTCACGTCACAGCAGTAAGTCGCGTAATAATGCAATTGAACTCGGTAATCCATGGTGTCTTTTCACAGCGGGTATCTCCTATCTATCATCTTCCGAAGCCTCTTGCCGCATACGCCTCCGCAATCTCAACGCAAAAAAAAAAAAAAAGACCAAAAAAAAGAAGAGGATGGTACAAATCGCTAAACATCCTATCGTCTGCTGACCTCACCACTGGCACGTCTACGGTCCAGGCGCTTGATCACGGCACCAAGGACAGCCTTGAGAACCCCGTCGCCAGTCAACCCATTGCCGCCGTCGCTAGAAGATCGTCCACCGGTCCAGGTGACCGTGTCTACGATATCCCGTACTCCCCCCTCGACCATTTCACCCAACCCGTCGTCGAGCTCCTCAAGCGCTTCTTTCGCACCTTCTTCATTCCCTACCTGGAAGAACTGCACACCGACTTGGAATGGCGGCGCATCAAGAATATCTAGCTTCTTCGCCGCAGAGATCAACACACTCTCCACATCGTCCGATGGCACACCATCCGTAAACACAATGAGATTCAGTGGCTTCATCTCCCGGCCTGCCGCAATCTCCTTCTCGAGTCTGGCCAGGTACGGCTTCAGGATATTGTGCACGCGGGAACCAGTCGGCGTGCCACCTTGCGGCCTAACACGCTCAAAGATCTGGTGTACGGTTGCCGCCCGCGTGATGCCTCGGTAGCCGCCAGGAGCGACGCCTTCGGAAGGCGAGCCTTCGCACGAGGTCTTGTGATTCATGAAGTAGACGTCGATGCCGTCGTGGTCGTGCCTGGTGACGATCGGGGCAATGGTGGAGATTGCCTGTCTGACTTCGCGCCATGAACGGCCCGTCATGGAGCCAGAGTCGTCGATGAGGAGCGTGGTGTCGAAGGTGCTAAGGAAAGAGTACGGGTCTTCATCACTAGGAGTCGTCGGCGCAGGTGTAGAGGTCTGGGGTGGTGTTGGGGCTGCAAGTTCGGGAATTTGGTACTCAAATGCCGGGCCGTACTGTGTGGATGGAGAAGTTGTGTATGCTGGCGGTGGCTCGTTGGAGGAGACGGTGAAGGTGTTCATACCAGGGCGGTCTGGTCGTCGTGTTGCGGATGCTGGGTTGCCGTGAGGGCTGGGGCTTCTACGTGCTGCATCATATGCTTTTCCCACAATGCCTGGAACTCTTAAAAGAGGTGTATCCGGGCTTTCTGAAGTGGTTGATCGTTGCGAGGCGTTGCTCCGTCTGCGACCGAGTGTCCGTAATGAACCAAAGAGCGAGCGAGAGGGTGCTGGCTCCGGTTGAAGACCCCGTGCTGATCCTGTAGGCATGACTATGGTTGAGCGGTATGAGCTATGATCCTGGATGGATGTGTTGACCGAGTCGCTTGTATGTTGATGGGTAGATGTATGTCTGAGATATCTGAAAGAGTGAACAGCGTCTAGGGGGAACAGGAGGGGTGGACTCTTATACGCCATATGGCGTTACCGTACCCGGAAACAATGCGGAACGTGAGTCCCAAACATGAAGAACGACTGTGAGTCTGCCGCGAGGCTATGTGAGTGGGAGGGTGAAAGAGAGAGTGAGAGAGTGAGAGAGAGAGTGAGTGAGTGAGTGAGTGAGTGAGTGAGTGAGTGAGTGAGTGAGTGAGTGAGTGAGTGAGTGAGTGAGTGAGTGAGTGAGTGAGTGAGTGCATCATGAGGCGACGTCGACGTGAGTTGAGTGTGACAGTTCCATGCGCAGCGAACTGCGCCCACCCATTTCACTGCCGTGACCTTCAGACGAGGCAGCCATCTATCCAAACCAATGTCATGGCGACGTGAGACCCGGGACCTGGACTGGAGACAAGCCTATGCCGTTTGACAACAGTATGCCATATCGAAAGCCCGGGGAACCGGAGACCGTCCTCGCCCCCAACCCAGCCTTCTCGGTCGGCCGAAGTTGGTCCTCGGCCATCGATCTCTCGCTCAGACACCGTCTTCCCCTATGCTAAGGAAGGCCCTGCAGATAGAGCGTGTTTCTTTTCCAAGGCAATCTGCCAAACCAGATGCCCTATCATTGAGCTCACGCCGCAGTCTCAGCCGCGTACCTGGCTTTCCCTCGTGCCCTTTGAGCCTCCTTGACCTGCTTCCTCGCTTGGCTGAAACTCAAACCTACCTCCTCATTGATCTTATTGATCAAACCATCCTCCGTAACATCGTCCAGAGTGAAATGGCCTAGACTTCCCTGCCGCCATCTCTGTATCATCCATAGCGCAGCCGCCTCGATATCCGGGACTCCGCCCTTGCCTAACCTACCCGTCTTCCGACACAGGCCTTCCAACAATTCCTCAATCTCGTTTGTTGGTGTGCAGTAATCACCGTACCAGGTCTCGCCGCCTTGCTGCTTATTGATGTGATATAGGAGGTAATCGCATAAGGTGACTGGTGAGATGATCGTGTCCTTTACGCTTCCCACCAGTGCCAACTTCATCATGGCTTCTGCGTTGGGCACAAAGGGGACAAACACACCAGGCGTATCAACCAAGTACACGCCCTCGGTTCCTTTATCCTCATCCTTCTCCACGATTTTCACTCCGCTGGCGATCTTTCTCGTCACGCCCGGTTGCGCCCCGGTGATTGCTGCTTTCGCTTTGTGTACTCCTGCCATCCGTAGCGCATTGAGGAGAGAGGATTTGCCAACATTGGGCATGCCAACAACGAGGATTCGAGAGCCGAGGAGTGATTGTCGCTGCCAGGCGTGTTCTTTGGTGAAGTCGAGGACGATTTTCATGTCCTTCTTCGATTTGTGGTCGGTGAATAGGATGGGAGATGGGGCGTGCCATTGCCTGATCACGTCTTCTTTCTGCGGTATGGCAGTCAGTCAGCCTGACGTCCGTTGCATGGAAATCGGGCAACAGAGATTGTGAACGCAAGTGGTACGAACTCTTCGGTCGGACGGCCGGTCCTTGCTCCCCAGATCCCGCTTCGTGTATATTACCAGCCGCTCACGGCCAGCAAGAGACTGCTCGAAAAGGGGATTCCGCGATGTGAGGGGCACACGATAGTCGCGACATTCGATGATCAGGTCGATGCTCGAGAGCATCGTCTTCATCTTCGCCAGCCCTGAAGCATGATGGCCGAGGAAATAGGAGCGCGGGAGGGAGAGTTGCGAGGGGAAGACCGGGCGAGGAACGAACTGGGCCATGGGGTTTACGGGCGTGGTGGTGGTGGTGGTGGTGCTGGTAATGAAAGGCTACGGATCTGCCATTGTACTCTATATCGGGTGGGTGAGCCTGTTCGTAGACGTGGGCGTGGGCGTGGGCGTGGGCGTGGTAGGTGAAGTTGTTGTTTCCCAAAGACTGAAGTGACTTAAGACGAAGCCCAAAAAATCCGAGATCACGTGTAAACCAACTAGCGATGACCAAGAAGCAAAAACACACGTGATCGTGCACGTGACATAACAAGGCCGAAGACCATAACGCACTGCAACTCAACTCATCACCATCACCATCACCATCACCATCATCCCATCCTCATCCTCATCCTCATCGCCGTTCTCGTCCTCATTCTCGTCCTCGTCTACATCTTCACCTCCATCCTCATTTACACGCGACGACTTACTTACTGTCGACTGGATCCGAAGAAGTCTTTCATCTTTCCATCTCCATATCATCATCTGATACCCTCTGTCTCGTCTCATTGTGATCACATCCATCCATCTTCTCACCTGGATCAACAGCACAGTAAACCTCAGATACACTGTCATCATCTTCTTCACCACATATCATTTCTCATCAATGTCGGAACCTCCATCCCCGAAGAAAGGCTTCATGTCTCGGCTCTTCCACTCAAAATCAAACAATCGGCTACGCAAAGCTGCTCTGTCTCCGCCACGGCTTCCTTCAAACCCCTCGTTATATACCACATCCTCTCAAAGCACCCAAACCACCCAGATCACCACATCACCAACCTCCTCTGCACCCTCCAAGCCGAAGCCGTTAGCCCACGGTGCCGTCTACCGACCCTCAGATGACAACCGCGATGAGCAGACGGGCGAGAGGAGAGACGACACGGACCTACTCCATGGACTCGCTCATCATGAATCTCACGATTCTCTGGACTCCATGGTCAGGATCCAAGAATGGAGACCGCCTGGCGAGCGGGAGGTTGCATCTCTGTCCGTATCACTCTGGGGCAAAATTACTTCATTCCTGTCACCTGGGGACAAGGCAGCCCTAGCCTTTTCCACGCGAACGTTGATGAAGCGAATCGGCACGGAGTGTTGGTGGGAGCTCGAGAAAGAAGAAAATTTCAAGGAAAAGTTGAGCTTTCTCATGACTTTAGATAAGGATCTCCCAGGTCACTTGCTCTGTTTCTCCTGTGCAAGATACCATCGACGGATCCAACCAGGACAGGAGACCCTCAAGCGCAAGACCGTGCTGAATCCAGTCTACCAGTGCCCCATGGTCGGAAAGCCAGGCCACGTCCAGCCCCGAGCACGACTAACACCCCAATGGAACCTCCCCTTCACCTTCGTGCAACTAGCCACGCGAGGCCAGAGATACGGCATCGCCACCTATGGCATCCACGTAAACGAGCTGGGGCGACGCTGGAGGGACTCCAGCAGTGGTTGGAGCCACGAGTCCCGCTTCTACATCCACAAGGGCCACCTCCTGATGCGCATAATCAGCAGGAGTTTCGCAGCCCCCAAATTGCCGCCCAGTGGGCTCCGCCACTTGTTGTATAGCAGAGAGGACTACACACCGTACTTCAGCGCCTGCGCGCACTGGCAGGATGGCGAGCTGATGCCCGTGTGCAAGTGCGCGCTGTCTCACGTTCCCGAGCATCGGCAGACCAGGAGAGAGCAGCTGAGGCAGGGACCCATGATCAGAACGCACCTCAGAAACCCCAACCCGATCGTGCTTCTCTGCTCGAAATGTAGGCCGATGAGGCGTTGTCCCGAGTGCCCGTCCGAGTACTTGGTAGAGCTGAAGCTGGCGGAGGATAAGGAGGACCCGGTCGTCACGTTCAAGCAGGCGATTGTGGTGACGAGGTGGTGTGACTTTGGCGATGGGAAGTCGCCGTTTGGGCCGGAGTGGTGCGCTCTCAATGGGCTGGAGGTGGAGAATCAGGAGGCTTATGACAGTTTTGCGCAAATGGGGAAGAGGGCCATATCGGGGGTGTTTGAGGCGCAGAGCGGGATCACGATGCCGGGACAGAGACTGATAAGTTTGAACCCCAAGAAGATTAAACTGGGTGAAGAAGGTGATGACTGGTACTGAACGAAATGGATGATTCTCCACCCTCTTGAGGTCGAACAAAGCGACCGAACCATGCAGTACTCGGTCAGATATCTATGTAAAGCCAACTCAGCACATTCGAAACAAAAAGAAAGGAAAAGGAAAACTGGGATCCGGGAACTCTTCAGACCACTTCGGGGTACCTCCGGGACCCCAAAACAAACAGAGACCAATACATTTATTGATCCTGGCTGCAAGTTCGGCTCCGTGGCACCACCTCCCCTCCTAGCCCTGAAATCCTGGACCCGACGACCCGGGAACTTTCTTCCCCCAAATCCCGGAGCCACTGCTCGCTTCAAATACCAAGCCCACACCCATAGCCGTCTATTGCGGCTAGATGGAACGCTTCGATCTACATACCGGCCCACCGGGCATTTCTGGGGCGGGCTAGCGGCTTATACCCTCCTCTCTTCTCCTCTGCTCTTCTCGCTGAGTGTGAGGCTGAAGGGAGCGTTCTGCTCTGGCACCAGGACTGTGCCGAAAGGTAGGACGCTTTGTCGGGTGACTTTGGATCTTTGCCAGGACAAGGGGGAGACGAGGATGTTCAATCACTTCCTCTGAATAACGTTTTCAATTGCTTTTATTGATATTGCATATCATTGCTATAACCCATTGGAGAATTGGAACACTGAAAATGGAAAGTGGGTGGAATCGGAAGAAGCGAAAACCGTCTTCGCTTAACAACGCCATTACGAACTAAATACGGAATGGGCACCGGAGTATATGGGGTGGCTGGAAAGAAGAAAGCTAGACCACCACGCGAAACTCAACGAAGAGGTATCCATGCAATTCTTTACGATATCGAAGATGGGAATGTTATGACATCTAGGCAAGGCCATCGAAACAACAGAGTGCAATCCAACTTCCGAAGAGCGCACTGCTGGATGCCTACGATTCTGCCCGTCTCGGCCAAGCTCTTCCAGAAGGAGAGATTGAGGATAACGGGACAGGACATTAGTGGTGCTCGATTTCTCATTAATATGTAGTAAGGGGTAGGGTTACCGCGGCACACATCTTCTCCTCGTCATAGAGGAGGTGATATTTGGAAAGTCAGAGATATGGAGTTGCAGGAATGAATAATTGTCTTGTCCACGTTCGAAAAACATTGAGACAAAGGTTTCATGACCATTGTCCCGAATATTGATTTTCAAAAACGGTTTCAGGCCACGAGAGCTGAACAAATCGTCTCAAAGGTGAAAAGGTCGATGTATTAGCTAGAAGGTAGACGCTATAAAAGAAAAAGGTGACTCCCCATCTACATGGTCTGTACTCTAGGCCACCACGTGACCTTAGCCCTACGATATATCCCCTTTATATTAGTTCTCGTCTCGAGAACTTCCTTAAAGGCAGGTAAGGGGTCATCTAAGCGGTCCTCTGATCCTCTTTTATAAAAGACGGTTTTTAGACCGCTTAAATTCAGTACAAAAAACTGAAATAGTTTTATAACTATTTTAAAAAAGATATAGTTGCAAATAAAAATAATTTCTTAAATGGAATCGTTATAATAATAATTTAATAAATTCCATGCCAAGATATTTCTCGGTATCGCTATTACGGCTTATATATCAAGTTATCAACGCTTTAATTTTTTTATAATGTAAACACCCCGCCTGACATGCTTCTTGCCAGGGCCACTAAGGCCACACTAAGCGGACCTATCTTCTATGAAAGAGCATATATCTTTTCGCTAGAATAATTAACGAGCTTTCCACTTATCTTTTTTGCACTTCTTTATAAGGACTATAAGGTCTAGCTTTAATATCGAGCTTTTATACGACACTTCTTTTTTAATGCTTTTATATGAATGACTTACGCAAGGATTTAAAACTTTAGTCTTTGTCTTTATATAGCTTGTTATAATCGTTTAATTCGAAATTAATTTGAATTTTATTTAATTTTCTTTTTATACTTAATAATTACGACTTTAAGTTATTAAAACCTTATTTTCGATAGGTTCGGACTTCGGAATGCCGCAGTAGCTAAAGTGCAATATGCCCATATTTCGGCTCTCCGATAAAAACTCTTTTTTATTGCTAATTGTAGTGCTTACTGGCACTAGGATCAGGAGGAGATTCTGCGGATTGAATGAAGCTTGGTATATTCTATCTAAGAAGCTCGTCAGGATCTATGTACATGTACCTAAGAGCTCCAGTGTGCCAAGGGCGCTACTAGGCGAGGTCACATGACATGTCACATGGAGCTTGGGTGGAACCTTAGGTATGCCTGTTCCGCACAACACTAATATAAAAGAATTTTCACTTTTTAATAAAAACACTTTTTTATACTTCGGCTTTTAGGCTGCTCCATGGGGTGGGGGCCCCATGGGGTTTTCCTCCCCATTCCCCCCATAAGGTCTTGGCCGATGAGGGACTTTTTTTTTAAACCCTATAAGGAAGATTTTTTTAAGTCAAATTCCTTACGAGGGATGGGGAAACCCTATGGGTTTAAAATAGGACAGCTAAAAATAATATATATAAGGCCGCTAAAAATAAAACAAATTTACGAATATTTATTAATTTTACTTAATCATTATATTTATTTATTATATTTATTAATCACATATGTTATACTTTACAATTACATTGCATTATATTATAATAAATTAAAATTATTAAACAAAACTTCTAGTTATGATTTCTCGCAATTTCTTAACTAACGCTATATCTTTGTTTTAAATCGTTACTCGTTTAGCGTGAATAGCATATAAGTTCGTCACTAAAAGTAATTAGTAAATCGATTAGTAAATCGATTAGTAAATCGATTAGTAAATAAATATATAAGTACTTACTTTCAAACTCTCTTACGAGGAATGCCTTTGAAGCTTCTTGTAAACATTCTAAAGCACCGCTTTAAAATTTAAAGTCTTGTTTAAAATCGTGAGTGATCTCTCGAACAAGACGCTAGAAGGGAGTCTTTTTAATAAGAAGCTCGGTGCTTTTTTGATATCGTCGGATCTCTTTTAACGCAGTAGTTATATAAATCAATAATTATACTTAAGAATCAATTTATTAATTGATTGAACTTATTTCTTGGCTTATAGCGACGGCGCTTTCGTTAGCTTAAACCTCTTTTTTTCGCAACAACTGCAGACTTCTTAAGATACTTGCCTTTTTTGGATTTTTGACGAGAAGAAGTTTTAGTTGCCGAAGGTGATTTGCTAGCTAATAAAACGGAGCGAGCAGTTCTAGCCGTCGAAAGTGATTTTTTAGCTCTTTTGTGTTGAGAGAGAGGAATATCATTTTCACTTGAGTTTTCTTTATCATCGCCTTGCTCTTCTTCATCTGTATCATTATAAAGCATCGTCTTCGTCGCGGTTTTTATAGCTATAATTGGGCCCGAGACAGTGAAAGACCTTTTAAAAGCTTTTTGCGCGAAAGCTTTTTTAGTGCGATTGCTAATAGAAGCAGAAGAAGATTCAGCAGCTGCAAAAGAATTGTTTCTAGCACTTAGGTCGTAAGACGGATCTTCGTTTTAAAGCTAAGCTGATGCATTCGCTTGGCTCGTCGATTATTGTATTGCTTTTAAAGCAGTTCTAAAACAATTAGCGAACGAAAGAAAAAGGTTTAAAAAGATTAAACTTATTAAAAGCTATTGGTATTTATGCTAATATTATCAAGAACGATGCTTTTGTTCATTTCGGATTGAATAGCCGAAATAAATCTGATTGCGTTTGCTAAAGAAAAATTTAATTAGTAAATATTTATTAATCATAAGTCAAAAACATTACCGGATCGAAGTCTAAAAGATGATAAGTGCTGGTCTATATTTGCGCGAGAGTTTGTTAGTGTTTAAAAAGCGTCACTTAAAATAATAGAAATTAGCAATTATTAATTAATAAAGTAATTAATACTTATTAGCTTGACCTTGAGAAATTCGGCGAGAAAGGGACGAGGATAAATCGGTTCTTTGTTATAGACTTGCAATACCGCGCGAGGTTTCAGGAATTTTTGTAAATGCTTATTAGCTATTTGCAATTGATTTACTAATCAATTTACTAATCAAATACTAACCGGATAGCTGTCGAGTTGTAATAGCGCGGCGCTTAGCAAAAGTAGGGTCAGGAATTTCTGTAAATGCTTATTAGCTATTTACAATTGATTTACTAATCAATTTACTAATTAAATACTAACCGGATAGCTGTCGAGTTGTAATAGCGCGGCGCTTAGCAAAAGTAAGGTCTGGCGCATCCGTAGCTAATTAAGCTTTGCTAGACTGAAGATAAGGATTTGCGCTAGGCAAAGTAACTGAAAAAGTATTAGTAGTACTCCGATTAATTAAATATAAACTTATTTTGTTTACCTTGCAAATTTAAGTTTTCTTTTTTTACGCTTTCGCCGCGTATTGTATCTGCTTCACCTTCTTGTGCTTCGTCCTTATTTGCTTGACTTTCAGCCGCTTGACCTTTAGCCGCTTGACCCTTAGCCGCCTGACCTTTAGCCGCTTGACTCTCAATCGCTTAATTTTTAATTGCTTTATCAATTAACTTATCTTGGCTTGCGTCATCTCTTTTAGCCGTAGTGCTTGGTATATCGGTAGAGGGAGGTCGGTCCGAAAGCAAAGGTTCGTTTGGTAGAGAGGCTATTTGAAAGTATTGATAAAGGGACTTGATCGCGATAATTTAGTTTACGATTAGTAAGTTGATAATTTTAAACAAGAAAAGGACGACCTTACAAAGCAATAAATAGCGTTGTATTTAAAGGCGTAGCAAATAAGAAAGCGATAGTTGTAATTAATTATTAGGTAATAGTAGAAAGGAATCAGACTTTACTTTGTAAGGTAAAAATTGCGCGGGGCGGCCGCCTTATCTTAGCTGCGGCTGCTTTATCACTTCGTGAATTCACTAGCGGCCGCGCTAGGATGTTTTAAAAATATAATGTACGAGTTTACTTTTAATCTTAACACTTTTATTTTATTACCTTTGATTTTACTTTAAACAATTACTCTTAACGTTTGGCTTCTTTATAATACTATTCAATATGGCCGCTTATCAGCTTGATTCGATAGAAGGTATCATTGCAAATACAGATCAGCTTGATTTGATGGAAGGGATTGAAAAATCTGTAGTAAGAATCATTTTCTTATTTATTAATCTATTTATTAATCAAAAACGTTTTTCTTAGAATGCGGCCGATACGACGGCAATCGTGGCGGCAAGCAATCCGGTGCTAGGAAACCTTGGCAAGCGCAAAGTAAGTATCTTTTTTACGTAGTATTCTAACCTTTATTAATTTATTAATTTTTCTTAGAAAGGAAGGCTAGAGAAAGGCCAATTATCAACCAATCCTTATACGATAAGGGCCAATGCTCGTATAGCAAAGCTAAAACAAGATCCTTAAGCAAATGAGCTTCGAAAAGCTAAAGGACGAGATCAAGCGGCCGCTAATCAGCTTTCTGCAATTTGAAAACAAACCTTAGAATATTCTTAAGCATTAAAAGCTGAAAGGAAAACTCGATGGGCCGAAATGCGAAAGAATCTTATAGATGAACGGTACTTTTTCTTTTCTTTGATTTACTAAGCAATTTACTAATCGATTTTAAAAAGAATCGAGGCATCCACGCGGATAATCTTGCTATGCAAGCCGCTTCTTTTACAACTAGATTCAATGATGGAAAATATTTGAATAGCGATTAGGTTGATGAAGCATTCAATTCAGACGAAAAGGTTTATAAGGAATTTAATTTGCGAAAAGACGAAGAAGAAAATAGTGATATACTTCGCGATAGATACGTCTCGATTACCGATAAAGAGATAAAGAAGGTCACTCGGCAATTAGCACGTTAGCACGCATGAATAAGCATTTATTTCATTTAAATATTTATATTTTGCTAATAATATAAAGTCACGCTATATAATAACCGTTTAGCAATTTCGTCGCTACTAGTAAAGTGTAGCGCGGTCTTTGACAAAGAAGTGCCGAGCTGCTAATTTAAAGAGTAAGGAAGCTTTCTTTGAATTGATGGCTTAAGACTTGGCAAGCACGGTTTCAAAACGAATTAAGTAAGAATTCATTTTATTATGCTTTTAATCAATTGAACTAATATTATAACTTTTAGTCTTTATTTAATCAAGCCTCTTTACGTTTACTTTTCCTTTGATAAAAAGAAGTATTGGCGAGCTAAAATTAGAGCAAATACCGATAAGATTAAATACGAATTGCCGGGTCTAGCCGCTTGGTGGAATATAAAAGGATTCGAAAAGAATATTAAATTTAAAGAAGCTGATTGCGATCTTATTTTATTTCAACGCGTTATGCAATTGATTTGGAAAAAGGACGAGCTAGCTCCGGAGTTGTTTTACGGCGTTAAGGATGGCGATACGGAATTGAGATCATTCCCAAACTCAATGCTTAAGTTTATGTAGAATAGAATTTACGATTAATTATAAATTTTGTATTTTATAAAAATACTTTTATTTATCTTATTCATTAATTATATTTATTAATAATACTTATTAATTATATTTACTTATCATATTTATTAATTATATTTATTAATCATATTTACTAATCATATTTACTAATCATATTTACTAATCATATTTACTAATCACATTTACTAATCGTCGGTTTCTTGTGTAACGATACGCTAAGTCTTGTAACGATACGCCAGGTCTTTTGGACGCACCTTATATGCGCTAAGCTACTTCTTTCCTTTTTTCTTTCGCATTTTTCGTATTCTCTTATTCCTCGCTTTTGACTTATGAACTATGGTTTACGAGTCCTTGGCGCTTCTACTTTCGTGTATATAGACTTTAGCTACCTTCGACCTTTACACTTAGTAGTTGTTGATTTTAAGTCATTACTTTGAGATTCTCTTGAGCTCTTATGTGAACCCC